GGGCAGTCAGAACTGGAAAGGAAATCACTAAGTAAGAGACGGAGCCAGATCAAGCTACCACTGTCGAATGAGGTCCTTTCAATGAGGATTAGGAGAAAAGCTTCTTAGAACTGCTATTTTTCAATCCCCAGTTGAGTACTGCGGTGTGGGGAAAGCCCGGAGTCCCAGTTCTGCATTCCCAGCGCTGATGGGCAGGCAGCTGCCTCTCTGATGCTCCGCTAAACACACCCGGAGGGGTGGCAAAGCCATGGCGGTCCCAGGCGGGTTTGGCCACACCAGAACTCGGTGTACGTTTATCTACATGGATTTCTGAATAGTGAATTAGCAGCAGGCATAGTAACTGTTTCATTGTCAGCCTCCCAAGCGTAAAGACTGAATACATTTCAGGAATGACAGGTGAATAACTCAGCCATGTGAGTGACTGTTAACTCCAGTGTCCACAGGTTGATTTGCTCGTGTGCATGTGATGAACTTCCTCAGAGGCTTTCCTCTGCAGCCCAGGTGCCAGGATGAGCTGCATCTGTGTCTCATTTAGGAGACACGCATGATGGGTCTCTGTCCCCACAAGCTGAACCGTTCAAAACCAAGGAAGGAAAATTACAGCATCAAAAGGGATTAAAACAAGTGATTTGCTGTTTGAGCATTTCAAATAGATCTGGAACACCTACGATTCACTGAATGAGAATAACTAAAAGAAATAAAAAATCATTTAGTTGCCAGGGCAATGTATTCCGTAAGAGTAAGCACTCTGTGGAAGCCCATTTCCTAAAGGGTGCCTCCAGGTAACAAAGGCCTGATATTTCCTCCTCCGCCTGAGCGTTCGTGTGCCATTTTTGTATTCCAGCACAGGCCTGTCTATTACCTCCCCTGTTCCCTGCGCCTGGGTTAGATTAGAGAGGTAGGGTGTTAATGGTGGACTTGATGAAGATTGAAGACCCATTTTCTCCCCCTGGAGACCAGCCTGATTTGGACAAATTGAGAACAAAGCAGCCCCTTTCTGTCCTTGGGAGAAAACCTGCTCTGTGTCCGCTTCTGCAGCCAGGTTGCTCCTCCCTGGGAAGGGGCGGGGGCGGGGGCAGGTATGCGGGTGGAAACCAAAGACTGCTGCTCAGGGAGGAGACCATTTCCTGTGGTCGCTGGAGCCCACCAAGTCACACCAGGCCTGCTGCCTCCTTTATTGGTGCTGCCGGTTGGGGGAGCGTGAGCTGGAGCCTGGGCTGGAGGGCAGCGAGCTGCCACTGGGTGCCCGCAGGGCGTGGGGGTCACGCTGCTGACCCGCCAGGCTGGTGTCCCCTGTCCCCGGTTCCTCACTGTTTTCCTCCTTCTGGCTGCTCTGCTGCTCTGGACACTCAAAGTGGACACAGTGGAACACCTGTGAGAGAAAAGGAAAAGGCGATGAGTGAAGCATCGGTGTGCAACCCTGGCGCTGCCACAAGTCGGGATTCTGCCCTGCCCAGCTTTGGGGGCTACCAGGTGGGAGTTAGAGGATGTCCTTCCCACTGCCCATGCCTGCCCTGGCGCAGACACCTGATGGCAACTGGCATGCTGTAAATACATTTTAGTCAGGATGAAAGGAAATGAGCCAGTGGCCTGAAAGTTAGACACCGTGAGGTGGATTCCTACAAAATCTTCACACTGGATTATTCCATTTTTGCGAACCTTTGTCTAGTGGGCCCTTTTTTCCTTTTTAGTTTTTTGTATCTGGCAGTTGTGTTAAAAGTCAATAGGAGCTGACTGTGGTGGAGGTTGTTCAAGCCTGTGAGGCTGGGGCGAGCAGGTCCACAGATAATGCCCGCGGTCTGTGTGGCGGCTGCGCCTTCCCCCCGTACCAGCATGGGTTGTCTCTGGTACTCTGGTTTTCTTCCGCATCCCAAAGCTGTGCATGTGATGTTCAGGTGCGTCTGCAGGGTCCCAGTCTGAGTGCATGTGGATGTGTGTGAGCGTGCCCGGCAACGGGACGGTGTCTGTCCTGGGCTGGGTCCTGATGCATAATTCTCCCTGGCCCTGCAATGGTTGAGCACAGACCTTGCTGAGGGAGCTGTGTTGGGGAGTGGACTTCAACATCATATGGCTCAAGCCAGCCTGGAACAAACGCCCCCAACGTGTAGAAGCCAGCCACGTGGCTGACAGTCACCCTGTAGGAGCAAAGTGTGCATACCTAGCAATAGGTCAGCCTGGAAGTACCATGAACTCTGTGCTATGCCAGCACCGTGCAGAGCTCAGTGCCCCACAAGCAAGGGTGAGCCATGGCCCTGACCTGGAGAGTAGGCAACGTGCTTGTGGGGGGACCTGACGTGCATGTGTGAGCCGTGGGGTGCAGGACAGAAGGGCGGGGCTCTCGCCACAGCACGAGCATGTGTGCACATGCATACACACGTCCTTCCACTGTAGAATCAAGTTCACAGAGGAGACAAATGTAGTATCAACTGCGGAATTCGACTGAAAATACAAATTCCATGCTCACCTCCCTGCGTCACTATTTTTTCCATATTCCCACTTCAGTTATTTATTGACTGCTGTTTTAAATTTCACATTTCCTCACATGAAGACTGAGACCGTGTCTTCCTGGTGTGTCCACTCTGTTTTGGCAGCTGCCATTTTGTCTTAGAGGGAACTGATTCTTCTTCTTACAGGGCGGGCGCTCAGCCGCTGTCCTCGCTTCCAGCAGACGCCTCACTGCCTCACGGCTGAGGCTGCCCACACTTAGCCTATGTCTCCCTCCTTTTCCTTTCCTTCATTCCTTTATAAAATCTCCTTCTGTGGGTTCATCTGCAGGGCTTACTGGTCAACAGCCGGAGGGGCAAGTCCTAGGGGAAGGCCTTCTGTGGAGATCTAAACACTATTTGGGGCATCAGCTCTGCTCTGGGCTAGCCGGGTGAATCTGAGAACCATCCTCTAGGTGACAACTATTAATCCACTCCTCTATCAGCTTCCCATTCTTGCTCCTTTTCTGTAAGAACACTACCCTGGGCAGGTTGGCCACTCATGGATCACTTGCCTTGTGAGTGCTCCTCCTTCCACGCCCAGGGATGAGTGAAGTCAGGCTCTGCGGGGACAGGACACGCTCTGAGAGTGCAGCCCCAGTCCTCAACGCGCCTCCACTAAAGCCTCTTGTAACCCAGAAAATATGCCATTCTCTTTTGCAATATGACCCAGAGCCATATTCTGTCCCACACCCAGACACGGGACTCTTCAGGACAGGCTGCATTTCCTGCTCCTCCCCTGCTGACACTGGAGCTCTTTATCCCGCCCGTCATGTTCTTTAATCGGTTATTTGTGTAATCCCTGCTCTCCTGGCTCTGTCAATATCTCCGGGCTGCTCTCCAGAGCCTCAGGCTGACACTAATCCTAGAATTGACTTACATTTGTCCTACTCCTTATTACCTTTCCTCAAGCTCTCTCCTCCGGTATTGAATGGCTTTTCTCTCCTTTTGCTCTTGCAAGGTTCTCTACCGTCCTGTTACATTTCCAGGCTAGCTCTTCCCCCACCAGCCCTGCAAGCCTTCAGGGTGCCTCCTGCTCCTCAGCCCACCCACCTGCCTGCCTCCTACTGATCTGTCAGCTCCGATCTGCCTCAAGGACCAAGGGCTTAGTCGTCCTTCTACCTGCTCGGGTTCTTGCACAAGAATAAACAAATCGATAAAAACCCTGGATTGAGATATAAAGTTTAAAAAGACCTCAGAGTGGCCTAGTGCTACAGCTTGCTCTTTAGAGCTAGCCTCTCACTGGAAGAGGGATCAGGGTGGGTCTCTGCTCTGCACTGTGCTAGTAAGAGCCTGGGAAGAGATGCTGTCTGTAGTGAGCACGTGGTAGACCTTCCACGGACCTGTCGGTGCCCCGGTTCTCGTTATCCTCATTTCCAGCTGCATTTATCTCTTATCTAACTTGGGCAGTGTTAAGCGCACAACTGTGTTTAGCCCATTAGCCAATTTGTTTTCAGATAATAATGCAAATGGCTGTTATTCCCAACACACCTAACAAGACTGACGGCCAATCTCAACTGTTTCTGTGTTTTCCTATGGCTGTTTCTCCTAAAGATCTCATGACTGTCTCTCTCCCTGACACCACAGAGCTTTCACAGCAGGCTCTTCCATCGAGTTAGGGGACCTTAGAGGCCCTTGGACACCCTATGCCTTTATTGCCTGACTGAGCTCCCCTGTGGCTCTGTAAGGAATTGGGGCCATCTCAGGGCTGTGTCCCAGTCTGTGGCCCCAAAATCCCAACTAACCGGAGCACAGTTGCCCTGAGCATTTTCAAGAAGCCACGCAGGTGCTGCAGATTCAAAGGCAATACAAAGGGCAACTTTATTAAATCACAAACTGTGATGAAGATTCTCAGTGAAAAAGTGTTTTTACAAGTGGACTCATGGATAAAGAGGCAGAGCATGCCATGGGTTGGAGTGGGCAAGCTACAGGTGACAGGTCGGGAGGGAACCGGCCTCCGCACACACACACACAGCACTGGATGAGCATCACATATGCAGCATACATGGCCAGAGGATGACACTGCATGTGTGAGCAGGGTCAGAAGGTGCACGCATGCCACAAGCATGAGGGACCTCCTATGTGCCTGACTGGGTGAGGTCCCAGCTGCCCTCAGAGGGTACATAGTCCAGTGAGGCCAGCAGACACTTAAGCAAGGGAGAAGGAGCCCCAGGGGAACAGAGGAGGGGAGCCCAGCCAGGCAGGGAGTCAGGGAAGGCTTCCTGGGGGAGGAGACATCTGAGGTGAGTCTGGAAGGAAGAGGGAGCCAAGCTAGAGAGGATGGAGGAGGGAGGACTTGGTGTGGAAGGAAAATGGGAAGAACTACACAGATTCTCAAGCCAAAGGGTAGCGACAGAGCAAGGAGGGCCTGGGAAGCTTGGAGTGCAGCAGGGTGTGGGGTGGAGGGATGGGGGCAGAGGCCACACAGTGCGACAGGGTGAGGGCCTGGGCAGGGAGCCCGATACTCTTGGTCAAAGGAGAGCCTTTAAAAACTGATCTTTCTTAAACTAAAAAATTATTTTAAAAGGAATGTACATTTGTGATGACAAATTCAAATAAGAAGTGTTTTTAAAAAGTAGATGACAGCAAACCTTTAAACCTTGGAATCTCCTGATTTAGCAATTTGGAATCAATAAGAAGAAGTCATTTTCAAATAAAAAAAAGAGCAGAATTCAGTAATGGGCTGGATGAGACTGATAAAGGAAAGGGCCCACAGTACCTCTCAGGGTTCCCTGGAAGGGAGGGGCGCAGGCGTACTGCGGTGCTACAGAAGGTGGCACCAGCAGGTCCCGGGGCTCCAGGCACAGCAGCTCAGACCTGCACTCATGCCGAGGACTCTCCAGATCCTTTCCCTGCAAAGAGTTCACTGAGTGCAGACGCTAGCAGGTGTGTCTACAATGTGGTTCCTGCCCTCAGGACCTCTCGGACAGACAGGGGCAGAGGCACCTCTGTGCTGGGGCCTGTGTTCCTCTTCTGCAAATGTCAAGTGGGCAAGCTGGGACTGAACCTCAGGGCTGTGCAGCCCCTCAGCCTGGACCTTTCCACTGTATCAACATGCTGCCTCACACTCATCTTTCTACCAGCATGGGGTCAGTAATATTTAATACATCAGAGGTGTATGAAAAACTCATTTCGCCTGGAAGAGAGGTCAGAGAAGGCTACAGAGAGGAAGGTTTGCACAGGCGAGGCCTTGAGGGGTTGGGAGGCAGAGGGAATGAGGAGAGGACTTCCATATAAAGATTGAGGCCCTGGCACCTCGCTCCTGGTAGCCTGTCCCCATTCACTCTGGTCACCCCTCTATGGAGCAGTGTGCCTGGCTCAGTCATCTCTGTTGATGATGTAAGCCTAGCAATCTTCAGCCAAATAATGGCAACTGTGTAGGCCAACACCCAGCTAGCTCCTGGACCACTCAGATGCCCATCAACACATATGAGGCTGGGATGACTTCTTCTGGGACCCCAGAAATCCTCAGATTTGCACCCAGTGCAAATGGGCATTTAGATGGGAGCCTGTAGGTGGTCCCAATTCTGTTCTTGGGAGCAGGAATGAAAAGCAAACCTGTCATGGGGAAGCTGGCACCTTCACTGGCCATGCTGCCAGGGCTGGGCGTGAAGCTGCCTCCGGCCCCTGGAGAGGAGTATGAGGGAAGGGAGGCGGCGGTGCTTTTTATACACAGGAGCTGGAGGAGGGTGATGGCAGCTTGGAGGAAGTCATCACTACCATGGTGTGGGGAAATCTGGAAATATTGGGAATGTACCCTTCCCCCTCCCACCGGAACCCCAAGCTCCTCAGCCCACTTCTTTCCATCAGGCACCTCTGGGCCTCCCTCTAGATGGAAGAGCCAAGTCCTGAGTCTCTGCTCAGAAGCTCACGAGGTTCCATTTCTTTTCTCCAAACCTTCCCAAGACTGTAATACCTCTTGGCAAGGATGTGACCGAAAGTGGATGAGGCATACTGGGCAGAGCCGCACTACTGATTTATGCAAAACCATTACTCCGGCAGCCGCCTCATCCTCCCCCTTTCCAGCAATCATGTATCCCATTAGCCTGTTTGATTGCCGTTGCTCACAAAGGGGCACCTTCGCTGAACCATCTTCAATGGCCTCTCGATCTCTCCCCCGAGAGGAGCCGGCTAATTTGGAATGTGGTCATGTGTATGAATCCGACACAGCCTCAGTCACAATCGGGTGTCCTTTTTTTGTAGCTGCTGTTTATGATCACTTTGCCTTGCTTCTCTGGGAGCCATAATTCACGACATACTGGAGATAGTCTGGGCATTCTTTTCTCCGTGAACCCTGGATAGCACGTACACAAATGGGCTAGCCTCTTCTTGGTGACCAGGCTAATTCCTCAGTTGGTAGTTGGCTGCTGCCTCTCATTAGAGGGATTCCTTGAGTACTATTTGCTTGACAAATTTTCAAGATTTTTAAAAGCAGAAGCCTCTGCTAATTTTCCCAAGTTGGCCTAAAAGTCCACTGTGAACTGTAGCAGAAATCGGGAAAATTTAATAATTGTTGATCAATGACTCTGCCTTACTTTCCTGGTTCCTCCTGAGTAATTTCCACAGACGGCTTCCATGCTAACTGATACAAATAGAATTTCTGATCCAAGCTTTCAACTCACAAATACAAGTTGACAAATCTATAAAATAAATGCCTGCCTCTTGATGTCTGTCCATAAGTCAGATGCAAAGCCCTGGCTTCTAACTTACACTCCTCTAAAGATTCCCTATTTCCCTTTCACAGTGGCTGGCTGGGGGGCATCACACACCTATCCAGCACTCAGTGACATAGCAGATCCTGCTGATGGTCACCATTAACATCTCTTTTTATTTTTTATTATACTTTAAGTTCTCGGGTATATGTGCAGAACATGCAAGGTTGTTACATAGGTATACACACGCCATGGTGGTTTGCTGCATCCATCACCCCACCATCTACATTAGATATTTCTTCTAATGCTATCCCTCCCCAATCCCCCTACCCCCTACCCCCTGCTATCCCTCCCTTAGCCTACCACCCCCTGAGAGGCCCCAGTGTGTGATGTTTACTTCCCTATGTTCATGTGTTCTCATTGTTCAATACCCACTTATGAGTGAAAACATGCAGTGTTTGGTTTTCTGTTCTTGTGTCAGTTTGCTGAGAATGATGGTTTCCAGACTCATCCATGTCCCTGCAAAAGGACATGGACTCATCCTTTTTTATGGCTGCACAGTATTATAGTATTCCATGGTGTATAAGTGCCACATTTTCTTTATCCAGTCTGTCATCGATGGGCATTTGGGTTGGTTCCAAATCTTTGCTATTGTGAACAGTGCTGCAATAAACATATGTGTACATATGTCTTTACAATAGATTTATAATCCCTTGGGTATATACCCAGGAATGGGATTGCTGGGTCAAATGGTATTTCTAGATTCTTGAGGAATCGCCATACTGTCTTCCACAATGGTTGAACTAATGTACACTCCCACCAACAGTGTAAAATTGATCCTATTTCTCCACATCCTCTCCAGCATCTGTTGTCTCCTGATTTTTTAATGATTGCCATTCTAACTGGCGTGAGATAGTATCTCAGTGTGGTTTTGATTTGCCTTTCTCTAATGACCAGTGATGATGAGCTTTTTTTCACATGTTTGTTGGCTGCATAAATGTCTTCTTTTGAGAAGTATCTGTTCATATCCTTTGTCCAATTTGTGATGGGGTTGTTTTTTTCTTGTAAATTTGTTTCAGTTCCTTGTAGATTCTGGATATTAGCCCTTTGTCAAATGGGTAGATTGCAAAAATTTTCTCCCATTTTGTTGGTTGCCAGTTCACTCTAATGATAGTTTCTTTTGCTGTGCAGAAGCTCTTAAGTTTAATTAGATCCCATTTGTCTATTTTGGCTTTTGTTGCCAATGCTTTTGGTGTTTTAGTCATGAAGTCCTTGTTTATGCCTATGTCCTGGATGGCATTACCTAGTGTTTCTTCTAGGGTTTTTATGGTGTTAGGTCTTATGTTTAAATCTTTAATCCATCTACAGTTAATTTTTGTATAAGATGTAAGGAGGGGATCCAGTTTCAGCTTTCTGCATATGGCTAGCCAGTTTTCCCAACACCATTTATTAAACAGGGAATCCTTTCCTCATTGCTTGTTCTTGTCAGGTTTGTCAAAGATCAGAAAGTTGTAGATGTGTCGTGTTATTTCTGAGGCCTCTGTTCTGAAGTTAACAGTCTATCTAGAGACCATGGAGATGTTTTGTTTTTGTTCCCTTAAAAATGAAGTGCTTCCAACAAAATATTCCTTTTTATAAACCCTTGGTTTTATTTGTGCATCTGAACAGCCCAACAAATTGTTTTCAGTTAAGGAACCATTTCACAGGGGCCAGGCATGGTGGCTCACACCTCGTAATCACAGTACTTTGGGAGGCTGAGGCAGGCGGATCACTTGAGGTCAAGAGTTCAAGACCAGGTTGGCCAACATGTTGAAACCCTGTCTCTATTAAGAACATAAAAATTAGCCAGGTGTGGTGGAGTACGCATACCTTGTAATCCCAGCTGCTCGGGAGGCTGAGGCAGGAGAATGGATTCAACCTGGGAGGCAGAGGTTGTAGTGAGCCGAGATCGCATCACTGCAATCCGGCCTGGAGACAGAGTGAGACACTGTCTCAAAAAAAGAATCACTTCATAGGGAGACATTTCCAAACTGTGAGCAGGAAATTTTCAGTACCGCTTAGGGTGATAGGATACCCAAATATTTTTGCACAAGTACTTATCGCTACTAGGTATGGAAGTAAGTTTCTGGGTGACAATTTTTATATATGGCAACAGCTTTTTTTTTGAGAGATGGAGTTTTGTTCTGTCACCAGGCTGGAGTGCAGTGTGGCACAATTTTGGCCTCCTGGGTTCAAACAATTCTTCCGCCTCAGTCTCCTGAGTAGCTGGGACCACAAGCGCACATCCCCACGCCCAGCTAATTTTTGTATTTTTTTTTTTTTTTTTTAGTAGAGATGGGGTTTCACCATGTTGGCCAGGATGGTCTCGATCTCTTGACCTCGTGATCCCCTACCTCGACCTCCCAAAGTGCTGGGATTACAGGAGTGAGCCACAGTGCCCGGCCGGCAATAACTTTTTAAAACAACTTTCCAGTGTCATTTTCTCATATTCACATAAGCCAGGATACCCACAGATAATTGGAACTCTGCTGCTTGGAAGGTTCTAGAAGAAGAGCCTTTCCAATCTGTATCACCTCAGGTAGCCCTGGAATTCCTGCCCTCTGTTTTTTATGTGTGTAGACTCCAGAGTTCCAGAGAGAGTTACTCTCTTGTCTTAATGGATTTGGCCACAGAGTGGTAGAGATGTCTTTTATTTATTTATTTAAAAAAAAAAAAAAAAAAAAAAAGAAGTGTTCTTGTTCGCAGGCTTCTGGGATGCCTGAATCTTCTCACCTGGTAGATGTGGCCTCACCAGGGCCCCCTTCCCACACTAGACAGGCACCAGGAGAGCCTGACCATGGCCCTGCTCTCCCCATAGTGCTGGCCCATGCAGCCCCAGCTGCCTGGGCTCTTCACTTTGTGTGACCAGGCTCGGTGTGTGCCTTCCGTCTCAAAGGGCTCTAGCTGTGTGGAAGCTTCCAGCCTCACCTCTCACTGCTGGCTCAGCAATGGCACTCATCTGAGGGGACCCTCACAAGCTGCTGCTTCCATGCGTCTCACTGCTGGGGGGCTCATCTGCCCAGGTCTGGGGGCACTTTCTTCCAGAACAGTTGAGGATGGAGAATTACTGCTGCTCCAGTATGACAGGTAGAAGGACTACAGTGTCTGAAACAACCGTATGTGCTCAATGTGCTGCTTTTCCTCTTTTCTTCCAATAACATCTTCCATAACAAGCATTTAAATATAAAGATGCCCACTTATGAAACAAGTATTTTTCTGCCTTTTTTCCTGTCTCACTGAGAAGGGAAGCTGTAAGATCCAGTTCACTCTCCTTATTTCAAAAGCAAGCGACCTGAGGGACAGGGAGGTGAAGTGCCACTGAGGCCACACAGCTGGCTGGAGATGAGGCTGGCACCAGTGCTGAGGTCCCCTCCCTTCCTTCCCCTCACTGCCTGTTCCCCTCAGTGCGTCCTCTGCCTCCCTGCCTGCCTGGTGCTGTTTCATGAAACCAGCTTCTAGGGCCTCCACCCCACTTTCTTAGCCTGGCTCTTCTGAGGCACCTGGCTTTGATCATTATCTGCAGGTATAATCCTTAAATCCAAGTTTTTCTTTGGATGGCTAACCTTTCCCTGCCTCTCCCCCAGCCTATATTTTTGTGTAACCAAATGCTTCCAGACTGTCTCATAACCATCACAGTTCCACCATTCTCCAAGGGCATGGCAGTCAGCCTTGGTGCGAACTTCACTTATTCCTTGATCTGGCTTCAGGCTGTTTAAGTGATTCCTAAGAGTCATTTCTCTTGGAATCCTGCACCAATGCTGTGGCCCATGGTCTGATTTTTGGAGGGGTTACTGCATGCCAGGCTGGGCTTTGTGTGATAAAGATGCCACAACACAGTCTCTGCTCTCAAGGGCTGCAGTGTGGTGGGGACCTAGTCAGAGCCTCCCACTAGGACTATTATGCAGATTCACAGGGGCCAGGCTGCCTGCTGGACCCGACTATCCCTGCTGTCCCTGCGCTGCCTCCTCTCTGGCCCAGTACCTGACATACACCAGACAGGGCCTCCATGTTGCCATCTGAAACCTAAGTAAGTTTGTTTCCATTATTTCTATTTACAAGCAGGTTTTCTTTGTGGGCATCCATTCCCGGCTGCTGGCACATGAAGCCCCTGGAGGGCCAGGTTCTCTCCCGCACAGAAGTGGAGTCTGAAGGCTGGAACTGACATTCTCTGCAGACCAGGAGCTTTTGCAGGGAAGGGCCTGTCTCTCCACTTGCTCTCTCTGCATTCTGCCACTGAGACGTCTGCTTCATGCTGCTGCTGGCCCACTGGGAGTTCGAGCCCTGGGAGGCAGCACGTGATTGCTTTGAGTTGCTTCTGGGCTGAGATGATGGTCCTCTGGAGGATGCTGCAGGGGAGGTCCTCGGGGAGCCAGAGAGAATGGAATCAGACCTGGGGCAGGGTGCCTGGGAAATAATTATCACCATGCCAGGAAGGAGCATTTGGTTCGTTTTTTTTTTTTTTTTGAAGAGTCATTTCCCTGTTGTTGTTTTTTTCCACTACAGCCACATGTTGCTATGGGAACGAGGATGGCATGGGAGCCCAGAGCCACTCACTGGCCTTGACAGAAGCCCGTAAATAAATTCTGCCTCATTCCAGGCCCTGAGCTGAGTGGTCCTGGAGGGCAGCTCAAGCAGCCACTTGCAGACTTTCTGTCCTGCTGTCGGCTCGTGCTGATGCCCCTCCAACACGCTCACGGGCTGATCACTTTCCCTGGCATAAGGAGCGGTGAGTGTACAGAGTGGTCTGCAACCTCCCACCCTCTCAAGCCCTTTAAGATATAAACAACTCATTCATGGCTCCCAAACTCCAAGGGCCAGGATCATTTGGTCCAT